AAAAGCAGCAATGAGAGCTAAAGGCTAACAGCAGTAAAACAGTAGCTTAAAGTAGCAAAATGGTAGCTAAAGGCTATAATGAACAGTATCACAGCTTAAAGCTAAAATTAGCAAACATAGCTTTTAAATTAGAGTTTTTAGTGACTTTTTTTAAAAAACCTTTTTGTTTCACGATGGAATGACACTCCGACTAAGATTGTTGACAATTTTATGAAACAAATTCGAATTTATCGTGATTTTCTCTGATATGTGGTGCTGAAGGTCCTAGGGCTTTTAATTTGAAAAGGCCTATGAACCTGCAGGAAGTGATCTTGACTGAGCGCAGCTGGTAGTTCCTTTGATTTGTTGGAACTAAGAACCCATGGGGTGAACCGATCCCCCTCTGACCCTCAGATGGAAGGAAACTGATTTGGAGGTTCAGAAACAGCCCAGGAAGCACCACAGCTCCATCCTGCCTTGGACTGGAAACTTCTGGAGAACCAGAGCTCCTGTCCACGTTAAGACCAGTTTACCCTGACAGGGCCAAGACAGAGGCTCCTGGTATAAACAGACAATGGTAGAGCCTCCATAAAGTACCTCCTGGCTCAGTTTCCATAATTGTGAAGCTAACACGAGTACAAATCAATCAGACTGAGTCCACCAACCTTCAGACGGATATAGAGAGCAGAGTTTCCCGTGGACATGATGGTCGTGTGGATCTCCTCTGGGGTCAGAGTCTTTACGTTCAGAGGATGCAGCTTCCTGCTGTGATCCGTTATGAAGACGTCAAAGGGTTCATCGTTAGCCAGCTGAGGGAAGGTGGACCTCAGAATGTTCAGGAAGTCGGCCTCCTGCAAACCCCGAGAACACCTCAGTTCCCGGACTGGACTTTTCTTGAACACTGGAACAGAAGGAAGACCTCGTGAGGGATCCACATCCTGTCCTGAAGCTTGTGCTGAACTCAAAACATGATTGTTATTGACAGATTCAGGTTTCATCTGAAAATTTCAGCCCTTTTAGGTTTTGATTCCATGATTTAAAGAAAGAACCTGGAACCTTCAGGATGGACCTGAAACCTTCAGGACGGACCTGAAACCGTCAGGACGGGCCTGAAACCGTCAGGACGGGCCTGAAACCTTCAGGGTGGACCTGCAACCTTCAGGATAGACCTGAAACCTTCAGGATGGGCCTGAAACCTTCAGGATGGATCTTAAACTTTCAGAGTGGACCTGGAACCTTCAGGGTGGACCTGAAACCTTCAGGATGGGCCTGAAACCTTCAGGGTGGACCTGCAACCTTCAGGATAGACCTGAAACCTTCAGGACGGGCCTGAAACCTTCAGGATGGGCCTGAAACCTTCAGGATGGATCTTAAACTTTCAGAGTGGACCTGGAACCTTCAGGGTGGACCTGAAACCTTCAGGGTGGACCTGAAACCTTCAGGGCGGGCCTGAAACCTTCAGGGTGAACCTGGAACCTTCAGGGTGGACCTGGAACCTTCAGAACGGATCTGAAACCAGAACTGATCGGTCCTCAGCTGCAGGCTGGAGAGTTTTAAACGTACCGACAGGAGAAAGCACCTGGACTGAAGAGTCCTCCAATAAGCGGATCTTAAGGTTTAGATGGTTGTGCAGGTCACTGATCTGGAGACTGCTGGACCTCTTCATGACGGAGGGAAGTCTGGAGGGAACAGACCTGTGGGACGACAACAGGACAGTTGTGATTGGCTGCTTGGATCAGACTGTTGTTCAAGAAGTTCATGTACTGCTGCTGCACCATGTGGCTGTTCCAGGTCTCTACCTTACCTTCATAATTCATCTCAGTGTTCCTCACCTGCTGTGACCTCTCCTGTCACACAACCTGTGTAGTTTGTGTTAGTCATGTGCAATACACAACTCATGTACAGTTTAGTTTATATTACTACCCGTGAAATACTAATACGAACTCATCCTACCAGCACCGTTATATTCTACCCCGTTGTTGTTGTTTACTAGATTTCTTTTGGACCTTGTAAAAATTATGTTTCTTTTCACCTTTGGTTCTGTATTTGTACCTTACTGCACGCTTTATTGTTTGTTTTTATGCAGTTGAATCGGTTCTTCTCATCCTGAACATTTCATTGCACCGCTGACTCGCTGTTAATCTGCATTTGACAAATAAACAACATAAACACGTGCAAAGAGTCAAAAAGAATCACAAACCACCTGAAAACTTTACGGGTCGGAGAAACAAAAGTCTAATTTAAAAACCAAAGATCGTGCAGATTCATTAGGATTAATATAAAAACCACAGAATTATTGTTTCATGTTTGTTTCTTGAAGAGAAGCGGTCCGACGCCAGTCAAGGTTCTCGTTAATCCAAACTTCTTTTTGACATCTGAAGGAACTTCTCTCCTCTTCTGAGACTTTTTCTCTGTTCAAACTGAAAAATGTGGCGTTCAAAGATTTAAAACTTTAACAAGCTGAACTCGCATGCAAATCATGTTCCTTACCCTCCCTGGCAACCACTCAGGAGGCCATCTTTGTCTAATAAAGCCACTCCTCCTATGTAGACTCATTTTTAGGCTTTTTCTTACGTCTTTTTGCTCATCAATTCTTTGATTCTTCTTGTTTTTTTAATGTTCTTTTGATTTTTATTCTTTTGTTTTTTATTGTTCTTTTTTGAGTTTGTTCTTGTTCTTTTTATTTCTTTATTGTTCTTATTGTGTTTGTTCTTGTTCTTTTTGTTCTCCAGGCTCCATCATAAAACGATGAGGGAGCTGTCTGGGAGTTCTGGAAAATGTATCTGTAATCCAGAGATCTGGCCAGAGTTCAGATTAAATCCCGCTTCATCCAGACAGAGCTGCGAGGATCGCTCGTTAGTTCTGTGTCCGAGTCTAGGAGGACACGGAGCTTTGATCTTCCAGACTGTTTCTGGATCAACCAGAGGAGAAATTACTTGTTGAGGTTTGATCAATAGTGGATATTGATCAACGGGATCTGGGTCAGCGCTTTCCTTCAAGTTATGACTTCAGTTTTATTTGTTCATCTTTTTTCTTTTTCTTGACCTTCTTGTTTTCTTCTAAGAATAAAACTCTGTCTCCTGTCCATCCTCGTCCTCTGGTTCTGGACTCAGGTCTCGGGGCAGCATCTTGAGCAGGGAGGTCCAGACATCTCTCCACAGCCTCTTCCAGCTCCTCTGGGACTCCAAAGTGTTCCCAGGACAACAGGGAGACGTAGTGTCTCCAGACTGTCCTGGGTCTTCCCCCGGGTCTCCTCCCAGTCGGACGTGTCTGGAGCTCCTCCTGAGGGAGGCGCCCAGGGAGCATCTTTACCAGATGAACCACCTCAGCTGTCTCCTCTGGATGTGGAGGAGCAGCGGTTCTACTCCGAGTCTCTCCTGATAACTGAACTTCTCCCCCTGTCTCTAAGGTCCAGTCTCCTGCAGAGGAAACTCATTTCAACCTCCTGGATCCACCATCTCATTCTTTCAGTCTCTACCAGAGTTCAGGACCAGAGGTGAGGGGAGGAACGTAGACCGACCAGTAAACAGAGAGCTTTGTCTTACAGCTCAGCTCCATCTTCACCACAACGGACCGGCACAGAGTCCACAATACTGCAGACGCTGCACCAGTCTCACGCTCCATTCTTCCCTCACTTGGGACCAAAACTATTTTAAACCTTAATTCTAATCCTCGACTCAGTTCTGTCTTCTTCAACGTGTCTCAGCCTGAAAAGCAAATGATTGTGAAACAGAGTGAAACTGGAAAGAGAAACAAAAGTGAAATATCTCATTAGCTTCAAACCTTCTGCACTAAAATTAAATAAATCTAATTTATTTCTATTTTTTAACTCGCTGACTGTTTTGTACAAATGACCGACTCTAAAACACAACCAGGGTTTGTGATTGGTTACCGTGGTGACGCTTCATAATGTGGCTCCTTCAGGTCCACTTGGTTCTGTGTGGAGATGGTTCCAGCCTCACCATCATCACCATCATGTGGGCTCCAAGGCAGACTCTGACTCTCAGCTTCCTCCTCATCTGAACACAAGCAGAGTCTGTCTGAGTGAGACCATTAGGATCCACGTGTGGTTTGTTGCTGGTTTCATGTTCACCTGTCTGCTGCTCTGGTTCCTCACCAACAACCACCTCCATACCTGCAAACTCAGAAGGGATGAAAAAGGTGTCAAACCTAGCGCCTGACCCCCCCCCCCCCCCGAAGATTTTGTAATTTTTTAACATGTAAATTAATCATTCTGTTTCACTCCAAGAAGAAAATTAGAGGAAAAGACAACATGCTTCAGGTAAAAGACATTTACGAACAGACGTATCCTAATTTAACGAGGACATGCATATGAAAGATGGCGTCAACCAATAAATAAACAAACAACAGCAGCAGCAAAACAAAAACAACAGAGCATTTTGTAACAGTAAAAACTCATTTCTTAAATGTTTGACCTGGACAAGACTTGAGTCTGTTCAAGATCATTGTCAGCTACCAATATGTCAAATGTCAGCTGACTAGCTCTAAAATTGGCTGAGTTATCATATCTTTTCTCTTTTAGTTAAGGCGGCCATCTTGGATATTTGATTTTCATTAGGAATGTATTACAACTCGCTCTCAGCTACAACCATACCTAATTTCAGCTCAATATGTCACAGAATGACCGAGTTACAGTCAGTTTTGTGTTTGCTGCGGTAGCTGTGGCAGCCATCTTGAATCAAAATGGCTCCAAACATTAATCAGTTCTAGACATCTATCTGATGATTACTTTCTGTGAGTTTCAAACTAATCCAACAATGAGCTTCTGGTTTCTTCAGGGACCTCTATAAGTCATGTGACTTGACCGCAGCAGTTAGTGTGAGGAGTGTTCTCCCATTCATTTCCAATGGAGAAATATGGCGTCTTTGTTAGCAAAATATGTCACCATGGTAACTCAGATTGCCAAAAAAAGTAATAGCCCTAATGTCAAGATTGAGCCGGTCGTTTTGATAGTTTTGTGGGGTCCACATTGTGGTTCGGGCCACATTAATGGAGATACAAATCAAGACACACAAGCTGTAGAATCATCCATTCAATGAATGGAGGCAGTGCAAAGCTTCACAAGGCAGTGCAGAGTTTCACAAGGCAGTGCAGAGTTTCA